AATACAGCTGAACAAGTCAATAAAATTCAGTACATAGCGACCGTCCATTTTATTACCTTATACTCATGTGATAAATATACAAATGTCAGTTATAGGCTAATATGCCTCAGACATAAAGTAAAAAAAAAAATAGGTTATAATTATCACTATTACATCATGTATGAAGTATTTTCTTCTACCGAACTTCACACACAAATCGTATTACTGAGCAGCAGATACCGCTGGGGGGACTCAGGATTATACACTGCCCGGCCAAAAAAAAAGTCGCCATTTGAATTTATATCAGCAAATACTTAAGAGCCAATGACTGGATCATTATTACAGCTCAGCAACGTTATGCAGCAATAAAGTAAAGTCAGCTGAGTACCTGAATCTACTGAATGGCCAGGTTACACCTCCATCCATCATCAATGGATTTTTTTTCTTCCCCGTTGGCATGGGCATATTCCAGGACAAGAATGCCAAGATTCAATGGGTTCAAATTGTCAAAGAGTGATTCAGGAAGCATAAGGAATCATTTTCACGCATGACTTGGTCACCACAGAGTTATGACCTTAACCCCATTGAAGGTCTTTGGGATGTGATGAAGGAGGCTTTATGGAGTAGTTGTCAATTGTCAATACAGGATCTCGGTGAGAAATGAATGCAAATCTGGATGAAAATAAAGGGTGAGATATTGCATAAGCTTGTAGAAACAATGCCATAACAAATGTGTGCCATAATCAAAGCTAAAGGCAGTCCAATGAAAAATTCAAATGGCGACTTTTTTTTTTGGCCGGGCCATGTATCTTCTGTGCAGTGATATGATTGATGTGTGGACTCAGTAGAAGAAAATAGTTCATACATTAAACTGCTCACTACAAAGTCTGTGGATTATATTCAATGAACGGGTCATGATTTCTGGTAAGAGACATTGCTGTTGAATTTTTCAAATGTATTTTTCTGGTGCTTTAATCACCAGAGAAATAATGCCATTCACTCCCATTGTATTCGAGAGAAGCCCGACATTTCTATGGACAATATCTCCAAAAACTAGGCAACTCCCAACAGAACAATCTAGATGGATAAATAGCACTAAAGCCCCACTGAAACATTTTTTTTTTCAGTTTTGGGGTGAACTGCCGCTTTAGCTATCATTACAGATTTAGGGTAAATTAACATGTCTTTGTTTTTCTAATTCAATACCATGATATGTTTGCTTAAGGTTATCATATCGTCAGAACCTCATACCAACCCATGCCTACTGTGGGCAACTGAGAAGCACCAGTGAACCTTACTGCACATCTTTGGGCTACAAATTGAAACCAGAGTCCCTGGACAAAATCTGCGCTGACAGCTTTTCTATAAAATTATTCTAAATCTCTGGTGAAGCAGTTGGCTCAAATTTTGCCCAGGGTACAACGTTCCTGCTCTGCATTGCATGTGCAGACCTTTCGAGGGGGAGCTGCC